CAGGTGTCCTGACTCTCCGACTGCCGGGAGTGATCTCCTCGGGGGAGGGTCCCTCAGCACAATTCCTCTTTGACTCTCCCCGACACGGGTCAGCACTTTTGGAGAGCTGACTAGTAAACTTCAATGTAGCTCGAGGGGTCTCCGGGCTCCCCTCTCCCCACCAGAAATCAGTTAGGGGCTCTTCCAAACTGAGGTCCCCAGAGATGGAATCTGCCTCTCGGGAAGAGGGAGTTTATCTGGGGCTGATGCCCCAGGTGTGGCGGAGAGACGATCTGGGCGGGCTCCTCTTCCCTACCCCCCCGACGCTGGCCAGGGGCTCCCCATGCTACCAGCCCCATCTAAGATCCACGGGGAGAGTGGGATCGTAGGCCAGTCCACAGGCCCCGGGGTGCCCCATGTCGAGGTAAGCAAATAGCACGTCTCAGTGAGGAGTCACGCCAAACAGAGATGGCTGTCCTGCCCTCCCTAAGCCAGCCTTCTCCACCCCCACCCGAGAAAATGGAGGCAGCTTTGATGTGGGCGCCTAGCCAGGTGTGGTGGGCGGGGGCCAGGCAGGCGGAGAGCAGTCGGGCTTTGCCCCGCAAGTGGGGCTGGGCTGGGGGTGACTCACAGAGGTCGCAGAGTTGGGCCGGTCTGACGCGCTTCACTCCGCCTCTGCGCAGTCCTTTGCTGGCTTTCCTGGCCTTTGTTGTCTGGGCTGATCATTTGTTCCCGCAGCCAGGCTTGGGCGCTCTCAGGAGTCCTCCTCTGTGTCGGCCCCAAAACCTCGAACCTGCTGCCGCTTGTTTGTCGATGTAGGATCGTTGATGAAAGAATTATTCGCCTTTTGTTACTCTTGGAAATGCAATCAATACTCTGGTATCACAGCGCATGGCTCACAGGATCGTGCTGTCTCCTGTCACGGCCGCTCCAGACCCGTTGCCATCTTAGAATCTTGCTCGCCGCGGTCCATGTCTCCGCCGGCGCCTCGCGTCCTCTGCGCCTCTGCCGCCTGCAGCCCGTGCCAGCTCGGATCGCCCGCCGCGCCGCACGAGCTCCTCCTCACCTCCGCCGCGACTCTCGCGAAGTCCTTGTTATGTTTTTATGATTATTTCTAATTTAATTCCATTATAGTCACAGAAGATACTATTCATAATTTTAATTATTTTAAATTTGTTAATGAAACTAGAGGTGGGGGAGGAAAATAGGGTGTTTGGGGAGTGATAGGTTGGGTATAGGGCATAAAGAAAAATCATAATTTGTAATAATGAATATGCTAATAATAAATAATAAATTTTTTTAAAAAATAAATAAATAAAAAACAAAAAGAATTGTTGAGGTTTTTTTTATAACTTAGAATATGGTCTATCTTGGTAAGTGTTCTATTTGCAATAAAAAGAATGTGGATTCTGCTGATGTTGGGCAGAGTATTCTATTAAGCGACCAAACCGCCTTTGTTAAAATCAGCTTTCACAGTGCTTATTCTTTGCTTGACATACTTCTCTCCATGGATAAGCAGTGAGTTTGGCAATGGCTTTCCTAGTGAGTGTCCTCCCACTTCTTCCTTGCAGTTGGCTTTCAAGGTATGGTCCTGGGAATGTGTTAGAAATAAAAAATCTTGATCCCTCACCCAGATCTGCATTTTAACAAGCTCTCCTGGAAGTTCTGATATCTGCTAAACTTGGAAAACCACTGTGAATATCCTACAGAAATTTCTTCCAGTGGCTCACACTTGGATGGCATCTTCTCTAGCTTCCAGTAAAGATGCATGTTTTCCCTTTTATTATCTGCCTTTGATCATTTAGTGGGAATTAGAAAAGGCAGATGTGCTTAAATGCATGATTCCACATCTCCTCTTTGCTTATAAGTTGTTCTCTGTTCACATTCATGGGGCTCAAGAGTACTGACCTTAATGGTGACTTCAGCAATGTTACTCAGAACTCTAGAATGTCCGAGCTGGAAAGGACCTCAGTGGTAATTTCCTCCAGCCTCCATATCTGAATGTAGACTGAGCTGACTGTATCCACAAAGCTGATATAAAAATTACCACCTGCTATCTCATCTTTTAAGATCAGCATTGGAATTCCATAATGTGGTCTTGCTCTAAGTTATGAGATGAGAAGCTACCAAGGCAAGTGAATAAGAGAATTCATGCCTGCTTTTCAGAGAGCAGTTTCCAAAATCCAGGAATTATCTTGCTTACTTCCCTCAGGACTGAGAAGTGTTGTGTCTTCTCTTAGCCTGATTGAGTGCAAATAACCCAGGCAAGTCACTTTGTGCCTCTCTCTCACAGGTAGCAGTGGAAATAATGAGGCGTTAGCCTTGCCCAATTCACTCATCCTGCTGGTAAAGTCACTGTCTCAGCCAAACCCTCCCTAGTAGAGGCAGCTCACCTATCATGCGGGCACTTTTCTTGCTAGTCCAGCACCTACAATATTTCCTGGATTGTGGAAAATACTCACATTTATTTTTCCTTTCCTAAAATTTTAATTTTTGATTACCCAACAAAAATGTCAGGTTGATGAAGCATGTTAAATTAATGAAGGTTATTAAATAATAAACTATTTCGTCTCAGTAGCCCTGAAAGAAAAGTGTTTTTGAGTAAATTAGCAAATCATGATGCAAGAGTTAATACTAATTTGAAATATCCGAGGGGAAGCAGCAGCATGAAAGACTTTGGCTGAAATCCAAATGCCAAAGATTTTTCCATAAAAGAAAAAGATGAGAAATGAATGTTTTAGAGCACTTTTTAAAAAATGAGCTGTCATTTTTTCACTTTTCTTAAATAACTGCAAGCTTACATAAAAGTTACCAGAACTGTAAAGAAAGCTCCCATCTCCTATTTGTCACATTCCCCCATTGTTAATAGTTCACAGCATTTGTGGAACAAGTTTTGGTGCTACTATAACAGCGTCTAAACCAATAGTAGCAATCGATACCCTACCTGCACCTCCATTATATGAGCCACTTCACTCCTGTTATCTCACCCGGTTTTCACATCACCCTCCAAGGTATTCATTATCAACCCTGTGTCATAGGTGATACTCTTGAGGCTTAGAAAAGTCCAGTAACATACCCAAGGTTTCACTGGCTAAGGGGAGCTTTCAGATCCAGACCCAACCCCACAGCCTGTGCTTGTTCCACTATCCATATGACAGGCACAATTCTAAGTTCAGGAAATGAAAACTATGCATAACTAACATCTTCTTGATGTTCTGACCCTTCCTTTACTGCATCTTCTCTATTTCAGGACCCCTCTCTTCACTGAATGCTGAGGAAATCACGGAGCAGATAGGAAATATGTGGAGGACAACATATAAACTGATCAAGACCTTAGCTGATGTGCCTGCACCCAGGCGCTTAGCAGAGAATATGAAAATCAAGATCGATAAGTTCAAACAGCACATTCCCATCCTCAGCATTTCCTGCAACCCAGGAATGAAAGACCGGCACTGGCAGCAGGTTCCTATCACTGCCCACCCCCAGGCAGCCCCATCGTACCTGGTCCTGGTAGCCCTCTGGAAGGCAGGAAACATTACTGGGTCAGGCTTCTCCTTCCTGAAAGGAGAAGCTATATGAGGCCAAAGGGATAGTAGTGGGAGTGATATCCTTCTAAAGGAAGGAAAGGGTGGGATACGCCATGAACTACCTGCCTCACGAACAGGTTGACCTTCTTTGGGACCCCACTGCTGGTGGCTGAATATTGTTCCAGCCAGTGACCACGGGGTGTCTTCTGTCTGCTTTCCTAATCGAATGGCTGCTGGAGGTCCTACAGGGTGATAAGTGTGTTAAATTACAGAGACAGTGCCTTGATTTCTTCTATGACCCAGGATACACACAAAAGAAAGATACACAAAAAGGAAAGACACATCTTTCCCAGGTGGCTGCTAATAATGCCAGATGATTCCTGCTCAGGCTGACTTTGGTGTGGACTTTCATTGTCAAATAGGCTGTGTTCAGAAATAATTTTGCACTTCTTCTTTCAGCCCTTCGAGCCTATAAATGAGAATAATAAATATTCTCCCTAAAAATAGTTGGGATTTTTATAAGCAACCAAGTGTGAGGGTGATAAGTGTGGTGTGAACAGTAGGCAGAAAAAAGAAAACTCACTGTGTTTCTAAAATAGTTGTCACATTCAAGGGCTAGCACTGGCCTTGAAGCATCCTCTACCAGGGAGTTGCTGTGTGTGGAGGTGGAAATGAGAACGGCTTTCCATGGGCAGATTCTTCTCTGACCTGGCTGGAATTCACTCTCAGAACCATGTACAGGACTGAGGACTCTGTCTCTGGAAGGATCCAGTCTAACAACACATGCATTACCTTCAAGAGAATGAAGCCCATTGCCCGGTGGCTGGGAGTATTTGATCTCCCTAGGAAGACAACGGCCTTGACACATGAGAGATTTAGGATTTTTCTGTAGGGAGGATCTACTTTCAATCTTCCAGGAAGCCTCTAGACTCGAGACTTAGAGGGTTGGTGTTGCAAACTGAAGGGTGGGGGTTGCAAATGAGGACAGGGGAGAGGTCATCTGAGTAGACTTCTGGTCTTGAAATGCCCCTGCAGAGGGGTATGCAGAGGATAGCTGCCCTGACTTGGTGCCCATAGGGGCCTCTCCCTACGGACCTCAGTTAGCTAGAACTTTGACCCACTTAGGGGGTTGGGGAGGCAAGGTGGACAGGTAGCCTCTGGTGGAGCCAAGTTTCTTCATGAGATGACACTATGAAAAGTGTCCTCATCAATGACATTTAAAGAATGCCCAGGGGGAAAAGCCATATGCCCCCACCTATTGCCTCCTCTGTGATGATGCTATTCTCACATGTGGGCACTTTAAAAATCTCAACCATTGCTAGACCCTCCTAGTTCTCATTTATAGACCCCTTAGATGGGTAGATTGGAAAAAGTATTCATTAGAATTACAGTAAAATAATAAGAATAATAGCTAAAACGTACTGAGTGCCAATTATGTGCTAAGTACTGTGCTGCATACTTTATTTGGTTCTCTCATTTCATCCCCCTAACAACCCTTCAAAGTAGGGACTATTATTATCCACATTTCACAGATAGGAAAACTGAGACTTGGAGAGATTAAGTAAGTTGTCATGTGACTAGTTTTTATTCGTGTCTAGGCTGGGGACGGGCGGGGAATTGGAACCCAGATCTGTTTGCTTCAGCCTAGAAAGTTGAAAAGAAGGCAAGAAATATCAGGGCAAAGGGAGGAAGAAGTCAGCAGGGCCAGTTAACCGTAGGTAAGAGTGTAGCACAGCCCCAGAAAGGAGGATCCTGAGGAATGAGCCCCTACAGTGGGAGGTCATTGGGCAGAGCAGTTAAAAGGTGGGCTCAGAAAGGACAAAGGCCACCACATACACTCAGGGCTGCTCCTGACTGCAGTGTAGGTCACACCACAAGCCACCCCAATGATGGCTCCAGGCCTGGGAAAGCCCTTCTCTGCCCTCATCCGTAACTCAGGAGATCCATCTGCACAGATGCTGGCTCTGGCAGGGGCTCTAAGGCTAAGCCACCTGTAGCTGTCAGGGCTGGAAGATGTATCTTCTGAGGTCATGCAGCGGCTGTGCTGAGCTTTCTGGCCATTTACCAAAACTGAAGCAGGAAAAATTAGTGCCCTATGTTTAGGGCACAGACTTTACAGAAGTCGGCAAAGCGGTTGCCACTGTGGTTTAAAACAAAATGGAACAGGGTAACATTTGACCTCAGGGAGAAACTGCACTTGTATGTACCCAGGCTGGCCCTCTAGGACTAGGATAGTGCTGTCCAGCAGAAATATAATATGAGCCTTATGTGTGATTTTAAAGTTTCCAGTAGCCACATTTTAAAAAGTAAAAGGAAATGAGAAGTAGATTTTGTGAATATATTTTACCTACCAAATATATCCGAAATATTATCATTTATTTATGTAATTGATATAAAAATGTTAATATGATATTTCGCATTCCATTTTTCATACTGAATCTTCGGAATATGGAGTGTTTTTACACCTACAGCGCGTCTCAGTTTAGACCAGCCACATTTCAAGGGCTCATTGGCCACAAGGGGCTACATATTGGACGGCGTAGGTCTAGGCTCTTGGAATTAGAGAATCAGATGCTCCGTCATTCTCTGTGATTAACAAAAGCAATTTAAAAAAGAAACCTATCAATTTCTGAGTCCTTACTATGAGCCAAGTACTATGCCAAGTACTTTACATAGCTGTGTCATTTAATCCTGGAGATAGTTTGTGTGTGGTTCTAGATGGTGCTTTCAGGTATTGGAGAATATATGGGAGCACAGGCCACCAGGAGCAGTTGTGCCGGTTGCACCCTACACAACTCTGGGTAGTGCTGCTTCTGTGCACTACAGCATGAGTTGTGCTTTCTAGAGTTATGCACTATGTATGCACACACTGTAATAGAAGACCCGTGAGAGACACTAGCATGTGACGGATAAGATCTCTGAAGTCAGAATCAGATCCAAATCCCAATTCTTCCATTTATTACCTGGGTGGTCTTGGCCAGGATACTTAATTTCTCTGTCTCAGTTTCCTTATATATAGAGGGGGAATAATAACACATTAGTACCTTCCTCATCACGTGAAAATGAAACAGTGCTCACTACTCAGGAAGCCCTCAGTCAATGTGGATCCCTTTTTTATTTCTGTTACCTTAGTGGTCCTCCAGATGTCCTCAGAACAAGACTGGAAGCCATTTGAGTTAGTTGGTTTATTCACGCTTTCACGCTGTGAATGTTTACCCAAGCCTACTAGATGCCAGGCCCCAGGGACACAGGGTCAAATAAGACAGAACATGACATGGCTCTCATGCCCCTTCTTGCTCTGGCATTCTTTAATCCCTCGGGGCTGACAGAGACAAAATTGAGCAGTAGGTGGGGTTTTTCACAGAGCCCCGTTCCCCATCAGTCCCCATCCTACTCTTCAGCACACAGGACCCTCATACTGCCCAGATCTTTCAGTTCCTGAGTTTTCAAAAGCCATCAGAGCCCTAACTTAAGACCTTTCTCAGGGATATTTGTACCTAAAAGGTAAGCCTGGGGTAGTATTTACACCAGAGGATGTGGGATTTCTAATGAGTAGGCACACTGACATGGAAAAGGAGGTATTTTGAAGGGACCCAACATCCTCAGATCACAGAATTTGGGGGTCTCCCTGTCCCGTGTGCTCATGACTTCCTCTTTTATTCAGCAAATGCTTACTGCAGCTTCTAGCACAGATCAGGTTTTGCACTTGGCCCTGGGAGGACGAAAACAAGGTAGACCTGGTCCCAGCCCTCAAGGTGTTCACACACTTCTGGGTAAATGAGATTTAATGCAGCCTGGGCTCTAGGCCACCTCCTGAGCCCTTAAACCCGCACTGTCCAAGTCAATAGCCTCTAGCTACATGGGGCTGTTTAATTAAATGTAAATTAACTAAAATTAAATAAAATTTTAAAATCAGCTCCTCGGTCACACTAGCCACATTTCCAGCTCTCAGCAGCCACATGTGGTCATGGCTGCTGTTCTAGACAGCACAGATAAAGGACATTTCCATCATCACAGAAAGTTCTGTTGGACAGTGCTACCGTGGATGATAAACACTTGTTTTCCTCTTTTCTTTGCAGATCAGTGAGATTGTTGGCTATGAAATAAAGCCCACGGAAACGACTTGCCTCTCAAATATGCTGGAATATGGATTCAGCAAATTTATTGAAAAGTAAGGCTCATCCCTTTGTAGGGACCAAAGTGTCTGTCAGTTCCCATGATGGTGAGATTGGCCTCATATCTCTGCCATCTGAGTGCTCTGATGTGCCCCAACACCCACCAATACTGTCCCTCATTGAGGAGCAGGCCTAGACACCCGCACATTTCTACCAGGTTTCGATTGCATTAAAGGGCCTCATCTCCCCCCACAATAAGATTCTTCCAAAAGACACCAGCTATTGAATACATGCTGCACCGAGCATTTTACATACATGAACACATTTATCCATCACAACAATCTTGTGCTGTAGCTAATGTTATTCTCATTTTACAGATAAGGAGATAAACTGAGAATTAGAGAGGTTAAGTAACTGAATCCAGGCAAGCTGACCACAACCTTAACCATTACCCTTCATGGCCTGAAAAACAAACCCAGCTCAGAAGACAGAGACTGAGCAAATTAAATATACAGCTACTCTTCCATTTTCCATGCAAGTGTGCTCAACTGTGACAAATCCAGATGTGGTGACCCTTGGCCAAGTTATGACCTCTGTGTGCCTTGGTCTCTTTATTTGTAAAATGGGACGTAGCTAGGTGATTAGAGTTATTGTGAGGATTACGAGATAAGGCACGTAACATGAACTGATGTAAAGTCGAGGTACGCAGGCACTACCTATCAGTGAGGTGCGATGGTCCCTGTATCCATTCACACCATAGTTGATGCAGCTTTACCCCAGCGCATGGGCAGTGAGCTTCTCTAGAACATTGAGGTCAACTCTTGACATACTTCATGGATTCCCAAACTGATTAATACCTCCCCTGTGCCATCATTTGCATTTTTAAGTCATACCCTAGGGGAGTTCATAAGGCATGGAGAGCATTTGGTCTTATTTAATTACACCAGCAACTCTGTGAGGTGGCAGATAGGGATCTGAGGCCAGTCAGGTGACTTGGCCATCGCCACATGGCCAGTGCTAGGCTCTGTGGCTCCTTGTCTCGTGCCCTCCTGGGTTGGCACCTGCCTTTACTAATTATTCCCTATAGGCACGCTCATTTTGATTGTCTTCCAAAGGCCATATTTAGGGATGGTCATGCTGCTGAGGTCTTGATCAGTCACTGTTTGGGATTATCTGTGCCTTGTCTGCCTCCCTTCATGAGGCTAAATGAGGGGTCTCAGCCCTAGATAGTTAGCCCTACTTGAGTACACATGACCAGTTCTATTGCTCCTTCTGACGAGGAGAGGGAAGAAGGCACATAGCAGAGGAGAAAAAGACACCAGATTAAGGGGAATCGATGTGTAGACCAGGAGTGGGATGGGGGACACTGCTATTGGCATCTAGTGGGTGGAGGCTAAGGACACCGCTAGATATCCTACCATGCACAAAGACAGCTCCCGATGACAAAGAATTATCCCGCTTGTGTTAGTTTGCTAAAGCTGCTATTACAAATTACCACACACTGGGTGGCTGAAACGACAGGAATTAATTTTTTCATAATTCTGGAGGCTTGAAGTCCAAGACCAAGTCGCTGGCAGGATCAATTTCTTCTGAGCCTCTCTCCTTGGCTTACAGACAGCCATCTTCTTCCTGAGCATTCACGTGGTCGTCTCTCTGTGTGTCTGTGTCCCAATCTCTTCTTATAAGGACACCAATCATTTTGAGTTAGGGCCCACCCTCATGACCTCATTCTAATTCAATTACCTCTTAAGAGACCTTGTCTCCAAATAGTCAGGTTTTGGGGTGCAGTGGGTTAGAACTTCAATGTGGGAATTGGGGCAGGGAATATTCAACACATAACACAGCCCAGAAAAGCAATAGTGCTGAAGGTGACAAATCCCGCAAAACATTGGAAGTAGCTGGCAGTAGGAGAGTAGCCATTTTGGTAAAATTAGGGGCTTTTTGAAATTCTCTTAAGACTGAGCTAAATTTCTCCTTTGACGTGTTTCCTGTGCCTCCTGTCGCTGTTGCTGTGTTCTCTCTTCAGGCTGGAGCCCATCAGTGCAGCCGCCAGTAAGGAATATTCTCTGGAGAAAAACTTGGAGAAAATGAAGTTAGACTGGGTTAACACGACGTTCAGCTTTGTGAAGTACAGGGACACTGTGAGTCTCGGTCCAAACGCAGCCCCCTGAAAGCAGCTCCATTTATTATGCAGATGACAGAGGTGATTCATTCAGGATTGCAACAGAACTGACAGAGGAATAATTCCCAGCGTCTTCGCTGTTTCCTTCTGTCTGCCTTCTGTGCCAGGCATCTTTCTTCTCAGGCACTGCTGGAAGGATGCATTTTCAAATCAGAAAGGCCTTTTGATTGAGAGCAAGGAGCTTTCTCAGTGCAAAGGAACCGAGCAAGCCTCCTGAATTAGCATCTCCGAGGGAGGGTGCAGGCTTAAGTACTTTTCCAAAGCTCCCCAGAAGCATACCTGGGGTGGACAATGCCTAGCGCTTCTCGAATGTTAATATGTGCAGGAATCGCCTGGAGATCTTGTTAAGGAAGGGTTCTGATGCAGCAGGTCTGGGGTGGGGCCTAAGGGTCTGTGGTTTTAATGAGCTCCAGGTAATATTGGCCACATTTTGAAAAGCAAAGGTGTAGATTTCTTTCTTTTCCCTGGCACTTGTGGAGAATGCATTAGTTTGTACAGAGCACGTGGAGGCACATAAACCTGAAGAGTTTGCTCAGCTGTCTCTAGGGTCTGGCTTGCTCTTGGGACGGGGCCTGGGATCAGGATGGGCATGCTGCTCTGGATGAGCTGTAAATCGTGGAAGCAACAGGCTGATATTCACATGCTGCAGACCATTGGCTCTTAAAACAGTGCTTCCAACTTTGGCTGCACAGTAGAATCACCTGGGACGCTTAACAAAATCCTAGTCGATTCTTCCTGGCTCCTGCACCCCCAGAGTGCCGGGGCACCCTGGTTTTTCTAACGTGCAATGTGGATTGAGAACCAAATCCCTAAGGGATCCCACACCTTCCTCCTGCTCCCGGCTGCATGTTGTCCTCTTGTGATTTCTTTCCCCTCTCAATAGTCCTAATGCCTTGATTTCACTTGGATAAGAACTGTATGGGTAGAAAGCTGTGATACCTTTCCTCAGCCATCATAAGGGTCATGGCCAGCTCCCCTATAACAAAAGACAGGTAACGAGAGAAAAGAATAACACATTTACTTCATCAAAGTTTTATGTGACATGGGAGCCTTCAGAAATGAAGACTAAGGCCGGCCCGGTGGCGCACTGCTACAGTGCGCCACTTGGGAGCATGGCGGCGCTCCCGCCGAGGGTTCGGATCCCACATACAGACTGGCCGCTCACTGGCTGAGCAAGGTGCGGGCGCAACACCGAGGGTTGCGATCCGTTGCCGGTCACGAAAAAAAGACAAAAAGGAAAAAAAAAAAAAAGAAATGAAGACTAAAAGACCAAAGGAAAACTGCCTAATTTTGTACTTAGGGTCGATGAAGAATGTAGAAATGTGATTGGAAATAGGGTATGATCTAATGGTACTAGACTGAGGGGGGGAAATCCAGCAAGGCCTGTCTGTTCCAATTCTTCCTGGCCTGTCTTTGTGGCAATCCTTTTTCCCAGGTACAGGGCAGGAGGGTCTAATGACCTACTATCAGACAAGGTAGGTCAGAGAATTTCTCGATGGCCAGCTCTTACACAGGAAGCGGGGGAAGGTTAGAGTAATATTTCTAAGGTTTCATGGCTCACTTTGAGGAAAAAGAGTTCTAGTCTCTATGATCCGCCTTGGGAAAAGGAATTCTAATTTATATGGTCTGCCTTAGGGGAGTAAAGAGAGTAGTAGGAAAGAGGGTGGGAGAAGGTCAAAAAGATCTCATGTCTGAGGCCTTCCGATGTCCTCAGCAAGTCAAGGCACCATGCTTTGGGGCATTGTGTTCTGAGCCCCAACAGAACTATACATGAGCCAGTGGGAGGGAGAAGAACTGGGGGCACATGAGCTTGCTCCTGGACCTCTCCCAGCAAGTCCAGACCACAATGGGTCCCAGAAGCTCGGTGCTACATGAACTGATTGGATTAGATATTGCTATAGAGGCTGGGAGGCTGGAAGGAGGAGTTAAGCTAGGGGACTCGGGAATGGCTCAGCTATACCTGGCTGCTTGTCAGAGTTTTTGACTGAAGTAGCCATAGACAAGGATCAACACCAAAAGGGGAATCAAGATATCCCTTTATCAGTAGCTGGACAGCTTCCCAATGCAGAGCTCTGGTAGAGGTAGATGAGAGAATATATTCTAGGCCCAATTTAGCCCCCAGATATAGGCTTGAAAGAAGTGAAAACAGAGTGAGGAAGACCAACCTGCCCTGGGGGACAGACCCTCATCATCTGGGAAAGTGCCATCTGCAGGGTCTGACCTGTAAGGCACAGTAACCTTACTCACGAGTAAAATACTACCTAGTAAACACATAGGACAGAAGTTCCCAGACTTTCTGGGTAAACAGTTCCTTTTATGTCTAACTACTATTTTTTTTTCCTTTTTGTCTTTTTTCGTGACCGGTAACGGGATTGCAACCCTCGGTGTAGCGCCCGTACCGCAACCGGCAATGGAATCACAACCCTCGGTGTTGCGCCCGCACCATGCTCAACCAGTGAGCGGACCGGTCTCTATATGGGATCCGAACCCTCGGCGGGAGCGCCGCCACACTCCCAAGCGCCACACTCTACCGAGTGCGCCACCGGGCCGGCCCATCTAACTACTTTTTTCATGATGCCCCTTGGCCAAAAGAAATTGTTTATGAAGTAATTAGTGAAAGAAAGTGAGCCGAAACGCCGGGTACTGTTCAAGCTTTATTAAAGGAAGAAAAATCTGCCAGGCTGTGCTCAAAATGGCATGCAGCGGCCCTAAAGGGAGTGCGTGGGCTTATATGGGCTGGTGGGCACGAAAAATGCAGGCAGAGAGGGGGAGTGGGTGCTGGTGTGTAAGATAAGGCCAACGATTGGTGCTGCTGTGGTGGGTAGGGCTGACGTAATCAAGACGGGAGGTACCTCTAGGCGGGAGTGGAAGAGTTTCTTTGTCTAAGAAAACCACCAGGTAGGGTAAAGACTGGCGGCCATTTTGTGCTCAATATCTGCCAGTAGCAGATATTGATGCCAGTAGCGTCCAAGATGACGCAGCCACGTCCAAGATGGCACCAGCTGCATCTGAGGTGGTGCCAGCAGCATCCAAGATCCATCATTAGGTCCAAACAACTTAATAAGGATTTATGTCATATCAACTTAGCAGATGTTTGAAAAACAATCAAAAACTATAAATTGAAAGAAAAAATTATATATGTGTGTTTTATATTTAAATAACCACAATTATTTACTCTTGAGTTGGCTGCAGTGCCAGGGTGTCACAGTACCCAGTTTGTTAATTGCAGGTCTAGGCCTGACCAGTCAGATTGGCAGGTGATCCTCCCACCTATGGGTGAATCTTCCCCAGCAGATTCTAGTTGCAGGTCTGGGCTCAGAACGTATTTGATTTCTGCAAAAGAGGTGGGAAATAAATGTGTTTAAGAACATTTTCAAAGAAGAAAATAGAAATCTCTGCAAGACATAGATTCCTGTCCCACTGGAGTAGAGTTCTGAGCTGTGAGGTCTTCAGGAATCAGCATGAAAAAATGGGGGTCTTGTGATTTTGACAGGGCAGGTCATCTTTATTTGCAGGATACAAGCATCTTGTGTGCAGTTGACGACATTCAACTGCTCCTCGATGATCACACGATAAAGACCCAGACCATGTGTGGCTCCGCATTCATCAAACCAATAGAAGCAGAATGCCGGGTAAGCGGAAATGAGGTTGGGTGTTTAGTGGCGTCCCATTCGCTCTGGGTTTCTCAGAGGAGGGGGAAGCTTTTCAAGTTCAGTTAACAAAGAAATTCACTTTCTATTGGGGGAGAAAACATAACACAAGACTAAAAGTAATAACCATCGAAGTAAGTGTATGGCACGCTGGGCCTTTGCAACAGTCTGACGAAAGAGAAGGTGAGATTTGAATGCACTAAATGAACACACATTTGGAAAAAATCTTATGGGCTATAGTAATCTGGAATGTGACTGCATGAGGGTGGGGGTTTGGCCTCCTGTGCTCATTGTTTGTAAAAGTGGCATAGGTTGTGGCACACACTCTGAAGCAGACTTCCTGCGTTCAAATTCTGGCACTGCTCTGGCACTGACCTTTAGCGAGTTACATGAACTGTTGTGCATCTGTAAGGTGAAATTTGTAATAATGTCTACCTCTTAGGGCTGTTGGATTAAATTGATCTCATATATGTAAAGAAACTCCGACCATTGCTTGTCGTAGAATAAACATTACAACAGCTATTATTATTATTATTCCACTAGAACGTGAGCCCCCTGAGGGCAAGGGCTCTTGTCTGTTCATTCATCGTTGTATCCACATTGCTTGGGGCCAGTGACCAGGAAACGGGGGGCACTCAATAACTGCTAGTTTAAAAAGTGAATAAATGAATAAATCCACCCATTTGTTCAGGCAGAGGGGCGGGTTAATGATTCAGATATGAAATTCTTAATTCACAGAAATGGGAAGAAAAACTAGTTCGCGTGCAGGAAAATCTGGATGCCTGGTTGAAATGCCAAACCACCTGGCTGTACCTGGAACCGATCTTCAGTTCAGAGGATATCATAGCCCAAATGCCAGAAGAGGGCAGAAAATTTGGCATAGTTGATAGTTACTGGAAATCATTCATGTCCCAAGCGGTAAGTTCTTGGGACATCCCCCAGCACATCTCACCAGCGAGGAATGCGGGAGCCACACACATGTTGCTCATTGTGTGTCGTAGTCATACTCCTTGAAACTTGTAAGCAAACTGAATTTTTGCAAATTTGATATTTTAAATTTTTTTATAATATCAAAACATATTAGTTATTGAAAATTCAAATGGAGAAACATGAAACATAGAAAGTAGAAGCCTTTTGAAATCCTGCCTGCCTAGAGGTAATTATTAGCAGGTTGTGTTATTTAGCTACCATTTCTTTTTCTTTTTTCTTTTTTTTAAAAAGATGACCGGTAAGGGGATCTTAACCCTTGACTTGGTGTTGTCAGCACCACGCTCACCCAAGTGAGCTAACTGGCCATCCCTATATGGGATCCGAACCCATGGCCTTGGTGTTATCAGCACCGCACTCTCCCGAGTGAGCCACGGGCCGGCCCTTAGCTACCATTTCTAATGAGGTAGGAGGCTTTATTTGCTATAGGATAATACAATAACATTTTTGACAAATTGAGAATTCAAGTAATTATTCACATTCACTTACTCGGTTATTTAACAAATTTTTATTCACTACCTATGATGACCAGGCATTGTTCTAGGAGGTGGAAAATACCTGAAGATGGCAAGAATATGATTTCTGCCTTCATAGAATTCACTGTCTTGTGAGGAGACAGACTTAGACGAGTAAGAGCGATAACAGAAACACGTATAAATAGCATTTAGAATACAGAAGAGTGATTTACTTACCTGGGAGTGTCAAGGAAGGCCTCCAAAGCAGGTGACATTGGAACCAGGCCTTGAAGGATAAGTCCACTGGGTGTACAAGGCAACCAGAGGCATCTATTAAGAGGCCTTAACTTTCTCCTGTTTTAAGTCAAGTGCACTCAAATTGGGACACACTTAGAACGAATTTGTCTCGAGAAATTATCTGCCTGCTTGTTTTCAGGAGTGAGATAAATGGACATTTATATTATCCAGCCAGTGGAACCAATTTTACATTAGTTAAGGTTCTTTGGTGGCAAGTTCCCACTCAGAGTAGCACAAACAAGAAGACAAAATAGATGTCTCATGGAACCCAAAGGCAGAAAGTGCAGCCAGGCCTCATGAAGGATGGATCTAGAACCCAGAAACCTCTCAGGAACTCACAGAGTGCTCTTTCTGTGCTCTGATCTCTTCCACTCCTCTCATGCCTGCTTCAATCTCTGTCTGCAAACTGGCTTGCCCTGCCGCACAGTCACATGGTGGGAGGTGATCCTCACACAGCTCCTAAGCCCCCTCATTCGAGGGTCCAGCCCAGACTAGTACAGAATGTCAAGGTCTGAATTCTAAATTACCAGAACTTAAAATATAATTGGCTCAGTTGGTTTCAGATGCCCAAGCCCTGCCCAATCAACCATGACCAATGGAACAAGGTCACGTTATGTGAGCATTCACCCTGTGGAAGTAGGAGGGGATTAGGAGGCAGTTAGTTGGGCAGGCGTTATCATTAGTTGATGGGCTAGTCACACATTCATTATAATGACCAGTCTTAGAACTTGGGAACCCCACAATGACTCTTGCCTTCTTCGATGGAACCCAGGTGAAAGACAACAGGGTTCTGGTGGCAGCTGACCAGCCACGAATGAGTGAGAAGCTTCAAGAAGCCAACCTGCTGCTGGAGGACATCCAGAAGGGGCTGAATGATTACTTGGAGAAGAAGAGACTCTTTTTCCCCAGGTATCCAGTATTATTCTTTTATTTGAAATTACCCTCTTGACTCATATACAGGTAGAATTACATTTTTCATGCTGAGAGTTGGCTTTGATCAATCTATTCCATTTTCTTTCCTAGTTCTCTATCCCCCAAAAGACAGCTTTCAGGAATGAGGCGTGTCTTCGTGTTTATTATTTAGAGTGAGTTTGAACGAACACCAGTGAGGATCAAATTCACGCTTTGGCCACCCAACATTGTTGCTTCCCCCAGTTAAAGGAGTACAGTAGTCATGATTAAGAGTCTGGCCTTTGGAGTTAAACAGACCTCATTTGGAGTCCCAGCTTTTCCACTTATTAGTCTTCAGACCTCCAGCAAGTCTATCACAACCTGAGGTTCTCCACTGTGAAACTGGCATATAGCCCCTAGTTCGTACATTTGTGGTGCAGATAAGTGAGCTAATGCATTTAAAACATTTAGTCCCTGGACTATGTGTTTAAGAAATGTCAGCTAACTTTTTTTTTTCTGCTGTCAAATTTTACAGTTTCTGGTAGGTATGTTTATAAATATTTGATTCTTTTTTCCCACCAGAACCAGTGTTCTTCTGCATAAAAGTCAAGGTAGTTTTAGAGGGCTAGTTCCAGAAAAGAGGGTCCTGACTCCTGAAAACAAATCCATATCTAGTTCATTGTGGATGGTCATTCCATGTTATTTGACTCTGATTAAGATGTTGGTTTGATCCGAATTTGCCTTTAAGAAAAGTAAATTTTAATATTCCTTTATAGGGAGATAAAATTAGTTCCCTGCTCTCCACCCAAAACAGATAAATAAATAAAGTGGTTTGTGTGGAATTCAGAAATGTCCTTGGTATCCATTCAGTACAGCTTTGTCCAGTAGAACTTTCTGCAATGACAGGAATGTTCTATGCTTGTGCTGTCCAATACAGTAGCCATTAGCCACGTGTGGGTAATTGAGCACTTTAAATGTGGTTACTGTGGCGCTGGCTGCTTAGCTGGGTTGGTTAGAGTGTGGTGCTGATAACACCACAGTCCAGATTTCAATCCCTGTACCAGTCAGCTCCGATAAATAAATAAATAAATGTGGCTAGTGTGACAGAGAAAGCAACTTTTTATTTATTTAATATTAATTTTTTAATGTAAATAGCCACATGTGACTACTGGCTTCTCTATTACAACACAAATATAGCACAAATAGTTGAAGAAACCCTGATTTGGAAGCCCAAAACGTGGGAAAAGATTAAACATGGGAAACCCCTGAGGTCTGGGCTTCTAGTTCTGTACCCACTACTGTTACTCGTCATAAAAATATGGATAATAGCCAACACTGATACAGCACTTACCTTACTCTAGGACACTGCTCTACGTGCTTTGCACTTATTAATTTACTGAATCCTCACAGTAATTCTATGAAGTTGGGAGCATTGTTATTATCCCCAGTTTATAAATGAGAAGACGGTAGTTTGCCCAAAGGCACAAGACTAGTTAATGGCCAAGCTGGAATTCAGACCCAAGAAGTCTGGATAAGATATTCGGTCATTTGATCTATCTGAGCCACATTTTCTCTCTAAGTTAAACACACATGCACATGTGCACACAAGAAGATCTCAATTTTTTTAATGCATTCTTATGAAATAAAATTAAACACTCTCAGCAAACTTTGTTATTGATAGTCACATAATTTAAATTAATTTTATCTTGAAAATACAGAGCACTAAGTAATGATTTTAACTTTAAATTTTACAAACATATTAACTGTCATTACTCTGTAACAATTGAGCCTTATTCGTTACCACACATAATGGAGATAGAGGCAATGCAAATCTATAAAGCTCACCTGTTTGAATTTCACTTAGGAGTGGGAGAAATTGACATCCTCTTTAGATATTGGTTAGTCAGTCAGCCAACAAGTAATTATTGAGCTCTTCCTACATGCTCAACACTGCGAATACAGTGTATTAGTTTGCTTTGCTGCATAACAAACCACCCCAAACTTTAGAAGCTTAAAACAACAACCATTTATTTAACTCGCAATTCTGTGGCTTGGCTGATTGGGCTGGGCTGAGCTGGATGGTTTTTCTGGTCTCATTGGGGCTCATTCATATGACTGCAGTGAGCTGGCAGCCGATGGCCTCAATCACTTGTCTGGTGGTTGGCTTCCATGGGTTGGGGCAACAGGAATAGTTGGGCCACACATCTTTTATCCTCCAGAAAGCTAGCCTGGGTTTATTCACGTGGTGGTGGACACAGGGTTCCTAAGATCATCAAGGACTCCAGATATCTGAGCCAGGAACTTGCACAAACTCATATCCACAATATCCTATTGGCCAAAGCTAGACACAGAGCCAGCTCACTTTCAAGAGATGTGAAAATAGACTCACTACTTGATGAAAGGAGCTGTAAATATTGTGGCCATTTTTGTAATCCACCATATTCGGTGAAGGCCATAATTGCACATTCTCTCTATTCTAGAACTTTCAGCCTAATGGTCACAGTAGAGGTCTGTACCTTGAACGGTTTTGAAGTCATTTTATTGAAAGGTTGACAATTAGCAAAGACTGGTACCAAGACAAGAAATTAGGCACGAAAGGCTTTATTCGTGCAGGCAGAAGCATGGAGCCCTGCACTGGCAGCATGTGGCAGACACAGGTACAAGACCTAGCCTGCCCTCCCCCGAGGGGTTGGGCTTATATTTCTTCTTATGGTGAGTTTTGTTGTTCTGATTGGCCATAGCTTATATTAATGAGGAGTTAAATGAAATATCCAAGGGAGTTGAGGCTTTATCTTAATTAGGTGATTTTTAGGTTTGCGATTATCGGTTCCCTTAGATTGTAAAGTAGGGTTTTAGAGGGGACAAATGGCATGCAGTTCTGTTGCGGTTATGAGTTCCTTTGTCTTTTTAGTTTACGAGGAAGTCCCCTAGAGTGGTAATCACCATTTTGAATATCTTTGGGTGGCACCATTTTAAGTGGTCCTCCCCAAACCTAATGCTTATTATCTCTAATTTAAAAGACAGTAGAGGCTTCTGCCTGGAAATATGTTCATTATTAACTCGTACTTTTTTCTATCACACCTGTAACATTTTCTGGCATACCTGGAGAGAAGGAAGTCATCTCTTTCTCCTTGTCCTACCCAGTAGTTCTCAACACTGACTACACATTAGAATCACCTGGAATTTGAAAAAATACAAATTTCCCAGCCCCAGCCCCAGATCAATTATATTAGAATCTCTCGGCAGTGGAACTTTGGCACTGGAAATTTTTATAAGCTCCGCAGGTAATTCTAAAGTGCAGCTAAAGTTAAGAACTGCTCTAACCAGGCTCCTTTCAACTGGTAACACCCCACCCTCCAATCATATTAAACTCATATATACCAGTTTTCATCTTTTCTCTTGCTCTCAGAGTCAAAACCATCTTTACTCTCTATGTCCAGATTTTAAAAAATGGTAAAGGAGAGTGAGCCTTAGAGAAAACCCTAGGACATAGCTGGTACTCACCTGGGTGTGAGCTGCCTGTTGGGGCGTGTTACCTTGTTAAATTCTCAAAAAAGTTTCCAATTACCATCGTCCTTTACTTTGAAATAGGTTCTTCTTCCTGTCAAATGATGAGCTGCTGGAGATCTTGTCTGAGACAAAGGACCCCCTCCGAGTGCAGCCGCACTTGAAGAAGTGCTTTGAAGGAATTGCCAAGCTGGAATTTACTGACAGTCTGGAAATCGTAGGCATGATCAGCTCAGAGAAAGAAACTGTTCCATTCACACAGAAAATCTACCCGGCTAATGCCAAAGTAACTCCCCTTACCCATTTTTTGGTTCTTTTCTCCATAACAGAGAAAACTGGAGAGAGGCAGAGTGCCTATTGGTTAAGCATTTGGACTGTAGTTCTCGACTGCCTGGCATGGAACTGCCCCTACCAATTAAATCAGAAAGCCCAGGAGTGGGAGTCAGGCCTCTTTATTTTTAAAATATCTCTAGATGATTCCAATACACAGCAAAATTTGGGAACCACTGGAATAATGCATGAATCAGAACTGTTCATTAAAAAGGAGCAATTCATTTTATTAACTGAAATAGTAATGTTTCATTTGCCTCCTGAGAAGTTGTCTGTTTCAGAAAATGACATGAGAGAAATGCATGTTAAAAATCCCCGCTTGCCCCTTTAGGAGGCATATACTTCTGGGAATACAGTAAATGAATGTCAAGCAAATAGTTAAAGAATATGGGCTTGAAGAGATGCCAGATCTTTGGCCTCCCTCTAGCCCTGTCCAGAGAGAGAGCTGGGCTTTGCCCACAGCCCCTCCCTCTGGCTTAGGCTGACTGTTGCTGCCTGTGTCTCTCTTGCCCCACAGGGCATGGTGGAAAAGTGGCTCCAGCAGGTGGAGCAAGTGATGCTTGTCAGTTTGCGGGACGTTATTGGACTTGGAATTGAAGCATATGCCAAGGTAAATGAGAATCAAGGTACACATGCCAGGGTGTTGGTGCAATAAAGGGAACTTAGGGGAGAAAGTTAAATGGATCCGTTCAATTGGCCACTCTGCCTTCTACCAAAACCCACCCCTCTGTGTCTCTGTTTCCTTTACCTGTAAATCCTGGGGCAATGAACATATTTCTGGAGAAACATTTGCAACTGAAGCAGGTGATATAAGAGAAGAGGGTTAGCTAGAACCTCTGGTTACTACAGGCCAGTACTCTCTGTCAAATGGAACTAATGGCATGAGGTCTATTTAGAGCCCCTTCAGTTAAGCAGCTGTGTACATCACATATGCCCTGAATGGTGTAACTCATTAAACTTCCAAAGGTTTAAGGGAAACAGGTATGACATAATGCCTAAGAGAAAACAACCTGTCCCAATGACTCTTTAGCCAGACTCTAGCAAGCTTCATATTTGCAGACTCTAAATGTAGTCCCCTCAATTTCATGTGCCTTTTCTTAGTTTGTCTCCCCACCCCCATTCTTAGTAACCCTTCCATCAAACAGAATACCTTCATGCTAAAGTATTGGGGACAGACCCTACTGTCCCTTGCAGTAGTATTTGTATTGTAAATGAAAGGCCAATCCTTTTTCCTATGATACATTCTAAATCAAAAATGAAAGAGAAACTCCTACCACTGCAAAGTTATTTTATGCAATTGAATCTATAGCAAAAATTAGCAAACTTTTTTGTAAAGAGCCAGATAGTAAGTATTTCCAGCTCTGTGGGTCACGCTCCCATCACATCTCTTTACTTTTACCCTCGTAGCACAAAAGAGACATAGATGACATGCAAATGACAGGCATGGCTGTGTTCCAGCATAGCCTTATTTACAAAAACAGGCATGGCCAGACTTGGTCTTGGGTCATAATTTGCCCATTTCTGATCTTCAGTTTAAGAAAAAAGGGGGGTGAGGGGACACAGCTAAGAAATGGTGGCAAAGCACTGCAGTGTTGTGTGCAAACAAAAAGAGTAGTTATGAATACTCTCTGAATGCCACCTCCATTATAGACATGTAAAAAGTCACAGGATGAAAGCATGAAGAAATGCAAAGAGTTGATGAGATTGTTGATTTTTTTTCTTTTTCGTAAAATTCAGGAAGAAAGACATAAATCTGTAATCCCAGAGATGTCAAACCTTGTAGCTTCTGAGGGTGGGGGAGGATTTTTTGTTGTGGAAGTAAGATGGTAGAGCATGTTTTTAGAAAGTCAGTTTAAACCACACACAATGAACTGACCCTCTAACAAGACCCGCTGCACTTTCCCAGGTCCCTCGTAATCACTGGGTCTTGCAGTGGCCTGGCCAGGTGGTTATCTGTGTCTCCTCCATCTTTTGGACCCAGGAGGTATCCGAAGCTCTGATCGAAAATACCCTACTGGTGAGTAGCCTGCCATGAAGCTTGCAGAGGAGATCCAAGCACCAATTAGGATTTGAATGACATATAATTAGAGTAGCCATGTTTTATTTTCTAAACAAAAATTATTTGGGTCCTTGGTATCAGGACTCATGAGGACAGTCGGATAAGAATATGGAATTGGGGCCATCCTGGAGTTTTATAGTGCAAGACCTCTCACAGTTCTTCCCAGGCAGAACTTCTAGGCTGCAGGATCCTAAGTCTTAGCAGCCTTTGCTTCCAGGGGTCAGCCTGGCAGAATTTCCACCAGTAGAGGCCCCTTGTCTTCTTCCTAGTTCAAAGGACCACTGCTTTCCTCTCTTCCTCCACGACTGCCCCTTTCTAACCACCCCTCCTCCTAAAGTGTGCTCATGTGCCTGCCTGTCCTCAGATCCAAACGTGTATTTCCAGTCAATTGATGCCAGTGCTTAAGAGTGCAAGACCTGGATGGACGTGAGTTCAAATCTGACACATTCACTTGTCAGTTGTGTAACCATGAGCGATTTACTTAACCTGAGTTTGTCTCCCTTCCCATAAAATGCAAGAAGTTGTACCCCAAATTGTACTATTATGGGGGGAGTTAAACAAGATACCAGTATATTGTCCAGTACTTAGAAGCTAGGCTGTACACCCTACAGGAAAGAGGCCATGTCTGTTCTGCTCACTGTTACATCTCCAGGGATTAATGCAGTGCTGAGCACACAGTAGGTGCTCAAGAAATATTTGTTGAATGAGTGAATGGCAACTCCAGTCCCAACCTTTCTACCATGATATAACTTCCTGTGATTATCTTATCAGACCTCCTATTATTCCTCTATAGAGGATTGGCTGTGAACTGGAATATTTTAATTTACTATATTTTGCTTTATACATTAAAATTGGAACATTAATATTTGACCAAGGTTCAAATTTATACAGATGCCATATTGATAATTCCTAATAGTTGGATTGCACTTGGCCCTTGCAAACTGCTTTCATGGACATCATTTCAAACTTCAGAAACTCGAAAAACTTCTGACTTTTGTGGGTAGGTCTCTGCAGTTTTCCCACCTGTGGATAGTGAGAATTTTGCTTGTCACAAACCCAAGCCCTGGAGTGCATGCACACTGAATGATAAGCCTCAGCATCCTAAAAGTATCAGCACAGGATAATCATCCATTAATTAATCCGCTCATTATTTATTTGACAAATATTTTGTTTGGCATCTGCTCTGTGCTGGCACTATGCCACTTGGCAAAGGGAATTAGAGGTGAACGAGACAGACACAGTCTCAGTTTTCAATGATGTATAGTCTAGTCGGGGAGATAAAAAGGCTCTTTTATAGAACTGTGATAAGAAAAGACCAGGGATCCAGGAATGTGGACAGGTTAGGATTGAGGAAGATTTCCCAGAAAAGTAGTGTCTTAACAGACCTAAAATATGAGTAGGGATTAGTAAAGCAGAGACTAGGAGGAAGGATGTTGCAAAGAGAGGAGCTGGAATGTGCAGCTCCTCAGGATGAGGAGCACGGTGCGGTCCAGCAACTGAGGGCACTTCAGTCCAGAGCAGCTGTGAAATGGGCATGACTGACAGAGATTTGAGGAGCAGCTCCATCACCAAGGGCTTTATAGACACCCCAGGGGAGATGGGGAGGAATGGAGAGACTTTTTATTTGTTATGTGCCAGGCACTTTATTATTAATAACAATGTATTAATTTACTGTTTCCTGGATGCTTTACTCACATCAGACATTGTGCCAAGTGGTTCACGTGTACTGTCTCGTTTAATCATCAAAACAGCTTGTAGAGGCAACTGCAATGATCTAGAACTGACCGACCGGGAGACTGAGGCTCAGAGGCTCAAAACTCATTTGACCAGAACCACATGGCTAGAAAGTGGGGAAGGTGGGACTTGAACCTAGGTGGTCTCACTTTATTCCTTTTTAAAATTTATTTTTATTTTTTACCTTTTCATTTTGAAGTAATATCAGGCTTACAAATAATGCAAAAATAAAGAATTCCCATATTTTCTTCATCCAGATTCCCCAGATATTACCATCTTACATAACCACAGTACAGTTATCCAAATCAGGAAATCAACACTGAAACACTATTATGATCTAATCTATAGACCTTTTAAATTAACTAGTTTAAATTTGGCCGATTGCTCCGCTAAACGTCTTTTTGGTCCATGCAGGACCCAGTCCGAGATTACACGCTGCATGTCATTGTCACATCTCCTTTTTCTCCTTTAATCAGAAGAAATTTCAGATTTTTAAAAATTCTGGTTTACTGTATAATTTACATGCAGTAAAATTTATTCTTTTTAACATACAGTTCTGAGTTTTGACAAACACATACAATCGTGTAAGCACCATCACAATCAAAATACAGAACAGTTCCACACCACCCGAAAATTCCCTCACGCCCCTTGTAGTCAACCCCTTTCTGTTCTCTAAGGCTCTGGCAACTACCAATATTTTCTGTCCCTAGTTTGTTTTTTTTTTTTCCTTTTTGTCTTTTTTCGTGTCCGGCAACGGATTGCAACCCTCAGTGTCACACCCGCACCGGACCGGGACCGGCAACGGGACCACAACCCTCGGTGTTGCTCCCGCACCTCGCTCAGCCAGTGAGCAGGAACTGGTCTGTATGTGGGATCCAACCCCTCGGCGGGAGCGCCACCGTGCTCCCAAGCAGCGCACTGCAGCAGTGCGCCACCGGGCCGGCCCTTCTGTCCCTAGTTTTGCCTTTTCCACCATATCATAAAAAGCAGGATGCAATTGAAATTCATCTAGAGGTTAATGGCTGGGGATGATGGAAAGGAAGATTTGAGGGATGACAGCCAGGAGTCTGGTTTGTGCCATCTGATGGTCGATGGTGCCACTCCCTGAGAGCGGGATGACCAGAGGAGGATCCAATTTAACCAACTGTCCCTTCCTCTGCCCCTCCAGGATTTTCTGAAAAAGAGCAATGATCAGATTGCAGTGATTGTCCAGCTGGTGCGAGGGAAGCTGAGCAGCGGAGCTCGCCTCACCCTCGGGGCCCTCACGGTCATCGATGTCCATGGTAAACAGGGAGACCTCCCCTGGCGTTACTCACCATCGAGGAAGAGCAGGCAGGATGGAATGATTCAGGGTTTCCTGCCCCATCAGGGAGAGGCTTCTCCAACTGAGAGTCAGAAGGGGGGTAAAGAGAGAAGCCAGCGCTGAAGGACTCTGTGTATCTCCGTGTTATGTTTTAACCTCCCGTCCCCATCATTATTTCTAGGAACCCTCCAAGGAGGGCTCTTACAGAGACCCAAAGGCCAAAGCCATTTCTGAGATTCAACAACTTGGAATGACTTCCTTGGATTAACCATACCTATTATTTTTGAATACTCACTAGGTGCCAAGCTTAGTGCTAAGCTCTTGACATATGCTATCTCCTTTTCATATACCGTTCACAGATTAAGAGCCTGAGGCTTAGAGAGGTTAGTAACTTGCTAGGAAGTAGCAGAGGCTCCTATGTCTGTCTGATTCCAAACCCACGGGACTGGAAATGGGCAGCAGTGCAGGGAGCGGGAGGTGAGAGAGGATGGATTCCAGCTCCTCCTTAAATGAAAAAAAAAGGAGGAGGAAGAAGAGGAGGAGGAGAAAGAACTGAGGTGTAAAACAAACCACCCCCACCCCCACACTCCATCATCACCAAGGAAACTAGGGCTGGACCAGGCCGATTGCCTGAGAACAGCGTGTCTCTTGCTCACACACCCATCCTCCTCCTGGCATTTCATGGCATCTTATTCCCCTCAAGGTTGATGCCCATTGTAATCTGATTTCATCTAGACAGATTAGGGTAAAATTAGGCAGAGAGAAGGGAGAATGTGCTGTTTATATGGCCATGTACCCAGCTGGTAAGTACTGCCCAGGGCACCCGGAGTGGTTGGGTTCACAAACACAAACACATACACATACACACGTGCGTGCATGCACACGCGTGCACACTGCACAGCAAAGGCATCCCTAACTCAATCCCTTGAGTCGCTTTCTTCTTGGATCTCTCATGTAGACCCCTATTCTTGCTACCACTCTGTGAGTTCTAATGAGAATCCTAAGGGGAATTAAACTCCTCAGGAAGGAAGGAGGAGCTGTTGTTATAATCTTCAGGGACGCTGCTTTGCAGGGTTTGGGATTTCACTGGAATAAAGACTTCTCTCATGAAAAGGGAGCAGACGTACAGAAGCGTCCCTTTTCAAAGTTAACGTTTCTGAGACTCTAATTTCCAGCCTGCTGCCCTAGCTCTGGATCTCAATTGCTCTCACCCTGTGAGTTACCTAAGAAAATAATTAATGAGTTTCATAAACCTGTGTCCACTCTTCAACTTCAGCTTCCTGTCACTGTGAGAAAATTAAAGTGGGTTCACAATCCTAGGAGAGAAAAGAGAAAAGTTAGTAATATATCTCCTGGCTGGTTTCTCAGGCCCCCAGCTGGAAAGAATACATCTAGCCACAGATAACAGACCAAGCTGATTGCATTCTCTTAGGACATCTTAGAGGGGCTGGAACAGGGCCAAAGGGTTGTATTGGGGATATGACAGCATTTGGGGTAACTACATATTGCAAAGCCCTCTGAGTCAGTCCTCCAAGACTTTGGAGATGATAACAGTAGACAGTACTTATATAATGTTTTTACATGCCAGACACAGTTCATCTCTCTATCACCTATCTATCTGTGAGTGTGTATGAATATACATATATATTGTGTGTATATATATATATATATATATATATATTTATTTACTTAATCCTCATAATAACCCTACAAGGTAGGTAGTATGTTATCCCTATTTTACAGATTATGCAACTGAGGGACAGAGAGGTTGAGTAACTTGCCCAAAGTCACACAGCTAGTTAGTGGTGTAACCAGAATTTGAACCAGACAGTCTGGTTTCAGAGGATGCACATTTAATACTTCTACTGTGCTGTCTGAGATGCAGCAGACTCTCTACCTGGCTCCTTGGAAGAAGCAAAGACTAGCTTTAACAGATGTGGCTGCCTCCAGATAGGAAGTAGAGGAAGGAGGGTAGTTGAGCCTAACATTTTATGGAGAGTGAGAGGTGGCCTTGATAACGTCGTCTTCCAACTTGAGG